GTGCAGCTTAGGTCTCTCTGCCTCATAGAAGTCATGTTCTCAGTTCCTAGGCACACACTTTTATCCTAATCTTTGATTTCCAGCTCAGTTGTGGTATTCTACTGGGACCCCATTTCACTCTCAACAAGAACTACGGATGCAGTTTAACTGCCTTGGGTCTGCCATTTTGTGTTGGCCCAGGGGAGCCCAGGCCGAGTGTGAACACACCCAAGCTGCCACTTTAATGGCTCATTCTGAGGTAAAGCCAGCACCTCTCCACCTGCTTTGTGTCACTGCATCTGTTTAAAAGGCCTCCCTTCGATGCCTCCATGCTTTCAAATCCATTCTCTGATTTGACATATTGTGAGATGTCCATCACAGTTATTTCCCTCAGAAATGGGAAGATCTGTGTCTAAATTATAAAGTTCTTTTATGCTTTTCAGGATTAAACACACACTCTGTTTCTTATTGTTTGATTCCCTTTCAGCACATGTGAAGCAGAATTTAGAGCTTACCTTGGTGAGTGAAAAATGTATTGATCAAATAGGTTCTTTGCCACACAGAAAGCAACTAGACTAACAATGGAGAAAATACAGTGGAGACAGCTGGGAACACAGGGCCCATGTTATATTCTAACAGCTCCTCATAACTCCATCCTGATTTTGAGACAGTGTCCCCTGAGCCTCAGTTTCTCATTTTTTGAAAGGTACAATTTAACCATTTCCTCATTGGGATGATAAGAGTAATTCTGAAATCCTGTTGATAAAGTGCTTTGAGTTTTTCCAAAGAAAATGACTTAATAGCAAATAAGAGTATGTTGCCAAAATAGCTGTCAGTTCCATTAAGAATATATAACGAATAAATTTGCCCTTGCCCTAGTGCTGAGTTAAAGAATTATTCTATGCAGTCATCTGGGTTTTAGCAAGCCCAATCCACTTGAATAGTTGCCAGTAATTAACAAAAAATGCAAAGCCCTCAAATGTCACTTCGTTCCTTTTCTATAAATTTAATTGCCTATTTTGTGTCAAACTCCCTATTTGCTGTCTTCTCTTCTTTATCCACTAATCTGATATTGCCAGACCTAATATTGATATGTCACAAAATTGTCTTCTGTGTAATGACAACCCTCAGGGACTATGAGTATGTCATAAAAAGTAAGTCACATTTTCACACGACAAATGGACATGCAGTGCAACCCAACATCTCCAGGCAAAAGTGGACACATAAATGTTGCCACTGGGTCTGGGTCCCTGATCCCTTGGTGTATTATACTTCAATGGTTTTTTCTTTTGGTCTACCACTCAAATTACTTGTGCAATCTTGATTGTGTAATAGCAAGAAAATATAACTTACTTGGGTACGTTGTTACAGATGGAAATATTCATCCATTCGTTTATTTAACATAAACCCATGAAGACCCTACTATGTGCCAAGCACTGTAGTAAAACTGAAGACTCGGCAGTGACCAAGATCAAGTCTCTTATCTCAAGAAGCTAACATTCTAGAGGAAAAAGATAATCACTTTCCATTTTCCTTCCTGGATTCCATTTCTTTCCAAGTAAATAAGCACGATAATTTGATAAGGATAAACACTATACAGAAAATAAAACAAGACGATGTGACAAGAGATCACTGGATTGGAGTAAGTTTCAGTTAGTTGGCTAATACATATGTCTGAACAAGTCTTACAATTTCAGAATAAATTTCAAATAAACTATTCCAGAAGCCAGAAAGAGGGCTATTTTTTTAAGCTGTTTTTGTTTAGAATTTTAATCACTAATTTCTAACAGCTTAAAAGCAACTTAAGTTGCTTTTCATAATTTAACTGGAGGAAGAGATTCCCATTCTCTTCTCGCTTTTAGAGATTGAAGAAAATAATCTAGGAATTTAATTAGATCGATACTAAGAATCGGAGCAGATACTAAAAGATGGGTGGCCACTTTGTGACTCAGCAGCCAGGAGAACGAAGTTCCAAATACCATTCTCTCACTCCCGTAAACCCAAATCATGGGGAAGAAACACCTAGATAATGCAAAACATGGAGCGCCGGGCGACTTCCTTACAGGTCTCATTTATCCTGTTCTGGGAATCCGTCTATTTCCAAGTATGAAATGGATGCAAGGAATGAAAAACAAAATATACAGCAAAGCAAGTTTGATCACAATTGATGCTTGAACTCATCAAGATAAATGGTGGGTTCCAGACGTCCTTCATCAGCACTTTCATGGCAAAAATATATCAAAATAGTGTTCCTCTCAAGAGAAAAAGAAAAATCAAAGAGCAAGAGATATTGTTGGTCTGAATTTGGAAACCAAAAATCCTAAATTCTTAAACTCTTAAGCAATTTCTTTTTAGCTTTTGGGGAAATCTAGTCTCAGTTAGGTGATGCTTATAATTTGCAAGAATAGTTTAATTTGTTTGGATGAAAACTGGGTTCATTAGTTATGAGAAGCAAGAAATGAGCAATACATACACGCACTTGGGAACACACATAACACACTCGATTGCCATTTGCATTTTGGCTTATTTTACTATATTAAAACCAGGGACCTATACAGTTTTAAGGCATTGTCTCTGAGCTTCTGCTCTGACACTGTTTCCTCTGTCACATCTGCCACCAAGTTTCCTACCATGGTCAGAGAGCCACAGTTTAAAGTCACCAAATATAAAACTTACAACCCGTAAGCAAAGCCAGACAATTTCAGAGGGCCGACTAAACCAGCATTCGCCTGAGTGCCTGGCTCATTCCCCATTGCCCAGGGCTCAGCCTTCAGCTAAGTGGAAACCTTCTGGAAGCCCAACCTGACCCTCGCCACGGCTGGGTTAGCCCTCCTCGGTGCTCCTCCCTGATGTAGCACTCGCAACACTCGACGTTGTAAATGCCCATGTAACCACTACCTTGTCCTCTAGACCACACCTCAGCGAGGGCAGGGACCTTGCAGTCTTGTTCGCTGCTGGGTCTGCAGCAAACACAGCACTCAGAATGAATGAGTGAATGAATAGAGAGTGCATGAGGTCAACTACTCCTTTTTCACTGAGCAAAGGGAAGTGCGGAAGATGCAGTGAGAAAGGAAGGCAAAACAAACAGGAGAGATGGAGAGAGAAAGAAAGTGACATAACTTGCCACCTCTTGGAACCCACGGCTGGTGGGCTGACAGGACTGGAATTCCCCTGGTCAGCTTCTAAGGGGATGCTTCACGGGTATTTTATTTAAACATTTACACATTTAATATTAAAAATATAGAAAGAAAAAATTTGAAGAGGGAAAATCATTCAATATGGGAATTTTACTCTCAAAGAACCAAGCAGGTAGGTCCAATAAATCAGATTTTGCCTCTGCTCCACCATGTGTAGAATGATTTACTATATCCATACGGGAAATTAAAGGACTTGGAGCTGAGAGACAGTCCAGAGGCCTGAAGCTGGGATGGTACAGACAGAGCTGTGTTTGGAGAAGTGGCTCTGAGGCTGAGGGAGTGGACACCTCACAGCTGCCCGAGTCCACAGGTGACCGCGTTCAAAAGAGAGGAGTCACCAGCAGCTCCGTCCCACGGCAGACTGACACAATGGAATGTAAAGTCGGCAGGGGGAGGTTGCTGATCAAGCTGCAAATGTGCTCTGTCTGTCCTAACTTGCAGTATTTCATTCAAGTGTAAGGGGGCTGTCATATTTCATACGGCCTAACACAATTTCATACAGTTCGTAAAAATCATTAGAATACTTGCAGTTGAAAAACATATGTTCAGGCTTCACCATAGAAAGAAAATAACTGTGCATAAAACAGAATAAAGGGGTTTGGGAAGAATATTAACTGATTAGCACATTCTGTCGATTCAGGAAACCAGAAACCAGGCATATGGAGAACCCAGAGGGGAAAGTGGAGATCTTAAAGGAGTGAGAAACTTCAGCGTGGAGAAGAGATGACCTTTCACTAAGATGTCCCTAGTAATCCTACTTAAAGCTTATCATCAGACTTGGACCAAATGTGCCATGTCATTGAGTCCTAAATCAAATCTAGGCTGTGGATGGCCCTGGATTCCAGAGCTGTGTGGTTCTCAAACTATGCTGAGTTATTGTGTATAAAGCTGAAGTCCCAGGCCTTTTGCGTTTAAGGACCGAGAAAAAAAATTTTAGTGGAAAAGTGGAACCAAAATAGGATTGTCAGGGTTTGTTTTTTCTTGGTTAAATAAAAATAAGAAGAACGAGGAGGAGGAGAAAGAGAAGAAAAGGAGGAAGAAGAGGGGGAGGAAGGAAGGGGAGGAGAAGCAAGAGAGAACCATCTATCCTCACCAAGATTTTGAGAAAAGAATGGCCAGTTTAACACCAAAAAACTAAGAGCATCATCTCCAAATTAAAAAGATATAGAGTGTATTTAAGGAAAAAGTCGCTCATTTTGGTTTTCTCAGAGGCGGGCTTTGGGGAACTAGTGGATGGAATAGTCTAGAATATGAGCTTTGCAGCAACACAGGTTCAAATACCGACTCTTCCACTGGCTCATGACTACTAACACTTCCGCCGTCCAGGGCAGGGGCTCCAAGTCCCTGAGGCGTGGCTGGCCCTTCTGCGAAGCAGGGACTCTCACTTCAGAGCAATGGTGAGAAGGAAAGGAATCCAGCACATTAAGCCTAATAAATGGAAGCTGCCGTCATTCTTGGGTGTATCATTTTGGCCGTCCTTTATCCCCAAGACTTGGGTGAGTGTATGTAAGTGTAGGGGTTGGGGTCAAGGGTGGAGAGGAAAGGTCGCTCCCAGTCCTCCCACACCCAACCTGAAGCTGCTCCTCTTTGGGACCACAAACTCCCTTGACCTAGGTTTTGTGGGAGCTCATTCTCTTCGTCCCTGTTAGGGAGATTCATTTAAACTTGGTCTCACCTGACTAAGGAGGATGCCTGAAGGGACATTTAAGTGGGAGGCGCCTCTGGGTCCTGCCCATCCTGGAATTCTCCTGGACCAGTGCTGGAAGGCCCCTACAGCTGCTAGGAAACCCATCATCCTGATTTAGAATGGAACTGATTTGTTTGTCGACCCTCAAGACAGATGGAGCAATTGTTGCCAAAAAATAGAGGATTTGGCCGTGACTGGTTCTTATTTTCTGTAGAGCTTTTTTAGTTAGAAGATTTATGTCGGGGTGTAACATGTGGCTGTAAAACGTAAAGAGAGTTAAGTATGATCCCCCTTCTCCCCACCTCCCTCCTGCCAATGAGTGACATGCGGATTTTAAAGGAAAAAGCTAAAGCTCTGGATTTGAGAGTCAGATGTTCGGTTAAGGACGAAATGATTTAACCTCCTCACCGGGATATTCTGAAATGCTGTTCTCAGTGTTGATTGGCTCAGACTTTGAGTTGAATTCTGTAGCAACCTCATTTGAGAGGAAAATCCTGCGCTAGGAACAACGGCTCTGCCCAGGATAACCTTCGGGAAAGCTCCCCAGACTGGCTGCCAGCAGAGCTGTGCTCTAAACTACGGCTTTATTGTTCATCTCTTTGTGCCTCAGTTTCCCCATAGGAATGTAAAACTAATACCAGCCCTTTCTCTCTGACAAGTCTTTGGTAAAGATCAAAGAAAACTAAAGATTTGAAAAGGTTCCTAGCAGTAGTACAATACGCTACAATGGGGATTATAGTAATATTAATGGGATGTCAGCTTGATTCTTTCTCTAAAGGCCTAAAGCTTAAAATTCAAACACACTAAATAAAAGAAATGTTTGTCTAGGACTTCGGGACCTCACGGAAAACTTGGCTTTCAGCCATGGTGTAACCAGATGCTTTCAAGAGTCCCCTGTCCCTTGAAATGCCAGGCAACGTGGGCTCCAGCACCACCATCGATTCCAGTTCTATAGCCCGTGGAACTTCAAGACTCGCTGGTAGATTCTTGTGTTTTCTGGAGAGCCTTGTCTTCTCCCGGCCTCTTCTCCCTGGGTTCCTGCTTCTTTGTGTTGAAGCTGTGGGGGAGGCGGGAGGGGCAGGGGTGGGAACAAAGGCAGGTTTACAACATATAACACCAAAGCCTTCAAAGGAATGGCTGGTCCTGCACCTGCACCTTTTCCTCCTGCCTTCCTTCTCACCCTCCTCATTCATCTCCCCCCTTCCCTTCGGGAGCACACCCCACAAATTCCTCCCTTGTCTCCTAAGGAGCGACTTGCCCTTCCTGATCTCCTGGTGCTGGCTGACATGCAAAGGGTCTCACCCCATCCAGCAGGTTCATCAGGCATTTTTTCAAACAAGGCCTGATGCCGCCTTAAAAGGAGTTCAGATGCCAACTGTTAAGATAATAGCACCTGGAGAAAATAGCACTGTCGCTAATGGCCGGGAGAACAAACTAGTTCTCAAATTGTGGTTCCCCGCCAGCAGCACCAGCATCACCATCACCTGGCAACTTGTTAGAAATACAATTTGGGGGCTGCAGACCCACTAAACCAGAAACTCGGAGGGTGCAGCCCAGCAATCTGTGTTTTAACAAGTCTCCAGGAGATCCCGATGCTGGCTGATGTGTGAGAATCTCTGAATGCGCTAGGGATGAGCGGCGCGTCTATCTTGCTTCCCAGTTATACGGCAGCCGGCGTAGCGCCGGATGTATAGCAAAGATTCAATGTGTGCATGTTAAATAAATGAATAGACAGCCTCTGATGCCATGTAAAGAAGAAGAAACAATATAAAACACGATTTCTGCTCTCGTGACTTGAAACAAGTGACATTAAGAAAGCAATGCGCGAACTTGAAGTTGTAGAACAACAAGTCAGCTTACAGATGTTTAGCCTGTGTTTTTAATGATGCAGATGCAAAAAGTAAGACTGAGCAACTTGACCAAGATGTGAGGAAGCAGAACTGGCCCAGGACCCAGCTCTGCAGGTATCCTGGCCTCCGAGTGTCCTGGGATTTCCCAGCTCCACACCCTCTCTGTGGTGGAGGATGATTAATGGCTGGATTTCGTGGTTCAGACCTAGAATCTGTAGGGGCTCAAAGGGAGAACTCGGTGTGGGCTGGAGGAGCTGGAGGAGGTCGTGCCGCTGATGGGGAACTCATGCTGGGCTTCTCTGCAGAACAAGAAAGATCTGGATGAGCAGAGATTTATGGGATTTTCTTTTCGGGTTCTGGTAACATTCCAGAGCATGGAGAGAAAACACGTAGCAAGCTTGTATTTAGTGGACATAAATTGTGTTTGCCCAAAGAAGTCAGCCGGATGCAAACAGCCAAGCGCAGGCGCAGGCCAGGCCCCCAGGCTGAGCATGAAATTGCCCTTTTAGGGCAGCTGGGCCCTGAAATGTGCCTGTCTCCTCCAGCCCTGACACGCCCTTCTAGGGCGGCGAGGATGATGTTGGCCTCTCTCTTCCTCTTGCTCTTGGCTTTCTCATTTTTGCCTCCTTGAACATGTCTGCCCCTCTGCTCTCGTTCATCCTTTCATGGTAAATTCGGCAGCAACAACAAAGTCTGATGATTTCTTTGAATTAGAGGTTCCCCCACCCACACGTCTGTGTCACTGCCAGCAAAAGGTCCTCTAAATAGTCATAACCCTGGGGAATTTGTGGTGTGGATGAAGGAGAGTGGGAGGTATGAAAAAGCCAAGTGAAACCTTGACAATTTCCCTTCAAAGAAAGTAGGCTGGAGCCCAGAGGAGGTACAAAGACAATGCCAAATTCACTAATTTTGAGAAGAATGGCTAACCGCCAACCTACAGCATATTGGAAGCATTAGCACCTGTAGGCGACATTTATCATCAAACCTCCAGCAGCAAAATCTGACACACCACGTGAATGAATGAATGAATGAATGCATGCGTGAAAAGAGGGAATGAAAGTGCCTGTAGAGCTTCTCAAGAACTTGAAGTATAAAACACCCATGCATGAGTTAAAAGTTGTCTCTCAACAGTATTATAGTTTGATAAGCTCCAGGGAGCCCAGTTAACTGTCAATAAGTGGCTTTATTAGAATTTTTATTAAACTAAAGATAAATACAGGATGTCTAGCTACTGAGGTGATAAATTATTCTGCTAAAGAAAAGGCCAACTGAAATTAGAACTAACTACAAATCATCTAGAATTTCAGGTGATCTTATTTATTAAAAACATCAGCTGCTTCATCACAGATTGATGTCTAGAGGAAAACGGTGGGTGGAATGTAGAAGTGGTAAATGAAACATAAAATCAATAATCCAATCGCAGAGCTTCTACAGAGGCTAAAAAAACTGTCCGCATTATACCACAGATCAAGCCCAGGCAATTATATTCATCACATGGCAAATAAATACCTGTGTACTCCAACTCCAATAAATACCGTACGACTGTCTACTCGAGAAAGAAGGCTCCTTCTGATGATCAGTGAGCATTTATGACTGGAAATCTAGACATCCTGAATAGTTAGGCAGCAATGTACTTCAAGTTGGAAAAGGCTATTTTTTTCATCTAATTTTTTTAAGGTCAGGTCACTTGTACTTTTTTTCCCCTTTCTTTCTTTCTTTTTGTTTTCCTGAGGAAGATTAGCCCTGAGCTAACATCTGCTGCCAATCCTCCTCTTTTTGCTGAGGAAGACGGGCCCTGAGCTAACCTCAGTGCCCATCTTCCTCTACTTTATATATGGGATGCCTGCCACAGCATGGCTTGCCAAGCAGTGTGTAGTTACGCACCTGGGATCCAAACCAGCGAACCCTAGGCCACCAAAGCAGAACGTGTGAACTTAACTGCTGCGCCATCGGGCTGGCCCCACTCATATACTTTTTAAGCAACTCCTAGTAAAGGGTCAACATCCCAGGAATGTAACTGCCATGGGGTTGGTATGCAGACTGGGGACCCTGATTTCAGCAATCTGACAAGCTACCCAGAGCTCAGGATGCCTTATTCTCAGTCTGAAAAATGGCCTGAAGTTATGTTTTTCCCCTCTTTGAGTAACAGCTGAATCAGTTACTCAATGGTCAAGCACTTTATATACATGTGTATTTATATGTATATATATGTGTATAATGTACATATATGCATATTTCTATGTATATATATATTTCTATGTATATATACACACATATATGCAAAAATACATGATTCTTTTTTCAGGGAAAGATTTGTCCTGGGCTAACATCTGTTGCCAACCTTCCTCTTTTTTCCCCCTCCCTAAAGCCCCAGTGCATGGTTGCATATCCTAGTTGTCAGTCCTTCTAGTTCTTCTCCGTGAGCCACTGCCACAGCACGGCAACTGACAGACAGACAGGCAGTGTGGTTCGGTGCCAGGGAAGCAAACCGAGGCCACCAAGGCGCTAAGAGCACCGGACTTTAACCACCAGGCCATCAGGGCTGGATCTGTAATTTTTAAATAACCTATTAGGTAGCCATCGTCAAGCAAAACTCGAAGTGTTTCCTTGGGCTTCATCTATCAATACTTGTTGCTAAGCGATTTTAAACGAAGTTGAACATTAACTCTACAGATACCAGGTTGGACCCATCCGCATGGGTGGAGGAAGAATTGAGGTCCAGGGAGTCACATAAGTACACATGTTACCAATCACAGCCACCATGTAAGGAGAACAGGCTGCACAGGAAGGCTGCTGTGACTTAGCTTGAGATCACACTTCAATGGAAATTATTTGGATTTTAAACCAACATAGGAAAAAAGAGTTTGTTCTGATTTATTGGGTCAGCTTGGAGCAAGTGTCAACAACCGTGTGTTTGGAAATGCTTCGTGGGGTGATAAAGGTTTCCTGTTTTTCCCAAGCAGGCCTGGTGTAGTTAACGATGGTGGGTGCCAGCTGTCTTTTGATGTCTACACATACAGCATCAAGATCAGACTGGCTGGTGCCCTGAGTAGAGACACTGGTTTCAATGTTGGGGGTGCTTAATGCATGCTGGTGTAGGTCTGTGTGGTTTCCCTCCATGCTTAAGGCAGTTGTGTTCTAGTCTCATCCCCCTGCACATCACATCTGCCCGCACCTTCAGGAAGGGAACAATTCATCATGCGTTCAACTCTCAGTTAAGCATAAGGTGACGACCAGGCTTAAGGAACCTCCAGGGACACTGCTTCTCCTATCCTTATCTCCACCACCATTTCAACCCTCATCAGCGTTCCACCAAAGGGTGGCATGGAAAACAAGAGAAGGGACATCCAAGCCAGACTCTCAGTTATTAGAGAAGCACTAATCATTTAGATCTTAGGAACTAAGCACATTAAAATGAAAGTTCAGGGGCTGGCCCAGTGGTATAGTGGTTAAGTTCATGCACTCTGCTTCAGCGGCCCAGGGTTCACAGGTTCAGATGCCAGGCATGAACCTATGCTCTGCTTATCAAGCCACGCTATGGCAGGAGTCCCACATATAAAGTAGAGGAAGATGGGCACAGATGTTAGCTCAGGGCCAATCTTCCTCAACCAAAAAAAAAGAAAGTTCAAAGGAGATTCTTGGGATTGCGGACTACTGTATGCTCAGCTATGTGCTGTTTAATCAAGGATCTCAATTACCCAGATGTCTTTGTCCATCTTCAGTGTGAAGAGCTCAGGGATTACAAATAATAAACTCCCATTGATCCCAAATGATTGAGGAAAGAAGCATTCTAGCTCATTGTCTATTTGTGTAAATAGATATCTACTCAGCTCTATTGATATTGCTCTCATGATCTGTGTTCACATCTGACTTCCCCAACTATCCTATTGCTCTCCCCGGTTGGTACTCAGTGCCTGACATTAGGAGACATTCAACAAATGTGCATTAAATGAATAAATTAAATTTTTTCACATTCTATAGAAACATAATTCATATTAAAAGTTTTTGAAATATTACTTTATCTTTGCTTATTCAAGTTACTTCAAGATACTAAACTTTCTGCATATAGTTAATCATGCATTGAAAAGTGTCTGGTCTACGTCAGTTATTTATGTTAGATGCTGGGAAGTTTTTAAAAAGCAGTAAGACTCTTAAGAGCTCCAAGTCTAGACATAACTAGCATTTTCCAATATTTGCAACGTACCTATCTAGTTGAGTCCTCACAGCAGGTCCGAGGGGAAGACATCATCTTCATTTTACACACGTGCGTACCCAGGCTCAAGAGGTGAGGTAAATTACTGAACTAGCGTCACTTAGAAAGAAACAGAGTTGGGATTCAAATACACGTCTTCTGATTCTAAATCCCACACACCAAAATTCCTTCTAATTTAATGACCGAAAGTACTGAAGACACCAGTATTGGAATGAGGGACTTGAATAAAATCAGTTCTCATCTCAAAGCATGTTGTGGAAGCCACTTTCTAACCATCAGCCCCATAGATGAACACATCTACCCACTGTTTCTCTCCCCTCCTCCACTCTGCTCCCCTTTCCCATCCCCCTCCCCATCTGCACACTTCTCTTTCACACATCAGTAGACCACAGAGGGGAAACTTTTTATCTCACCAGAATGATCATTTAGATTCCTGAGAAATGTGAAAGCAACATGGAAACACACTCATTTAAAGTGTTATCACAGAATTTGTAATGATTGTTTTAAAATAGTATTGATTACCTGAAAGTGCACTTGAGGAAGTAACTTGGTAAGATTTTATAAGACTGAGTTGAGTTAGGGGCAATTTTCCTGATGTTGGTCCCCATTTGTGAACCAGGTTCAAAGGTTGCGGGCGAGGGTGAAGTTGGGCTCGGGTCTGGGGTCTCTGGGGCACTCCCCCGGGAGGACACATTCTTGAGTTTCTCCTTCCATGGAGGAATACTCCTCGGAGTGTGAGTCGAACTTCCCTGACCACATCTGCCTGGCCCTGAAAGATTTGGTGCAGTGTTACTTGAAAGGAAATGTTTATTATTATTATTATTCTCAGATTGGTCCCCAAGGAAGAGAAATAATGGTTCCTCAGCCAAATGTTTATTCAATCGAGAGTAAGAAAATTCAAGCCTCATTGGAGAGAAATCTTGTTCTTGCCAAGGGGATGGGCAGTGGCTCCAAAAAGTAAGATGTTGCAATGCTTACATCACAGATTAAAGTATAATCCTTTCCTTTAACTAACTTCCCAAACTCCACTGTAATTTTACCTAATCTATCGAGTGGATCCTGTTCTACATTTTACACATCTGGCGGTAAATCTGTGTTTAAGTGGCCCTCAACAAACTTCTATCCCTCAGCAACCATGATGCTTAGAGAAGAGATGGGAACATGAAAAGGATTATCTCTAGTTCTATTTGACTAAAATGTCATTGGAAGGTCAGTACAACCCAGGCCCAGGTGGTTTCCCATGTGAGACGCAGAAATCCATTCTAGGTGGGGAAACAGCATATATAGGAAAATTAAAAGATCCTATGGTCTCAGCTCCCAAAGAACTAAGAATCCAGTTGGGAAAGCAAGATCTAAAGAGAAGAAAAATCAAATAGCAATATAAGGGTCAAATGACAAAAAACGACCCAGAGCAACTGCCATACATTCGGGAAAGGGAGAAAAGACCATGACATCCTACAAAAAAAATTATGGCAATATTAGTGGTTTTAATAGTAGCCATATAGTTCACCCTTGTTTAAAAAGAGTAGAGATTTTTGCTAAGGGGCCACAAGGACGACATGCGTTGTTGACAGGTGTTGAGACCTGGCTCCAGGCTCAGTCCCCTGAGCTGAGCCCCCTGCTGCGGATAAGGGGACACTCTATGCTGCTTTACTGCTGCCACTCACCGTGGAAATTAAATTCATTGCCTGATCCTCCTTCATTCCAAGCCACTGTCCCAAGAAGACAAAAAAATGTTTTTTCATTTTAGCCAATTTCTTCTTCTCTCGATGTCCTGAAAAAAAAGAAGCAAAAGTTTGTCATGTGTCCTGTTTCAGCGACAGAAGGTAAAATAGGCAGTTTCCACATGTTGTTCTGTTGACAGCGCGCCATATGGTTCCTGTGAAGGTGGGCCCTGCTCCAGGGCTGGCGGGGGGAGGGGAAGCCGTGTGACCTCCTTACAGCTATGATGGTCGCAGCTCAAGGAGCCGCTCCCATGGCTATTGCTCAGGCCTCAATATTGCATGTTCCTGGCCTGCTCTGCTCTCTCAGGCTATCCCCTGAGTCTCCTGTCATTTGGAGGAGAGGAATGTGTTTACTTTCAAGACAAGGATTCGGAGCCCAAAACATGATTGGCTGCCCTCTATAAAGGAGAAATTTGGGCCAAACAGGGCCTATCCAGAGAGAAATGCGTGACTTTTAATAACTAAAAACCGTGTACAGTGGGTCGTGAATGATAACATCGTAGGGTGTTTTCAAATAACTTTAAGACCTTTCGCTGTTGGAAGGCTGAATACCTTGGCTATTTATTAGATCCAATTGCAAGTAGAAACTACTCTTGAAAAAAAATGCAGCTGTCTATAGTCCAAAACCATGGAAACCAGCTCTCTCTGCAAACAATGAGCCTGCTTCCAGCCAAGGCAGCGAGAGATTCTCATTTCTCATGATTTTCTTCCAAATCCCAAACAGCAAATGCCTTTAAAATGCACAAAAGAGCAAGAAGCCTACTGAATTGGCAATTATTCCTGTTCCTTTTTAGTAAAGGAGGGGAAGGCATAAGAAGATCTGTGTTTTGCTGCTTTGGGGCTTCCAAAGACAAGATGGCCTTAGGACAAGTTAACTCTCAGAGGAGAGAGCTGCTTGGAGCTACAGAGAGAGAGTGTTTTTGCGTTTTCGTGGCCAAGGTATGTTTTCTTTTTTGCTGAAGGCCGTCTTGCAGGGGGAAACCGAAATGTCCTAGTTCCAGAATGAACCCCCTAGAAACCACACTGCTTTTCAACATGGTGATAGTCAGCACATAGTTTCCCAGTTATAAACCACTCTCCCCCTCATTCTCCAATCCCGGATAGTCCGTTTTCCAAACACACTCTTGCAACAAATAGCCATAGCCCAAGTAAGTTGAAATTTTAAATATGCACCAAAATGCAGGTCATGTTATCAGAGTCATCGTAGAGGGCCCAATCTGTTCACTCAGTGGCTGACCCAAGCCATAGTGTGAGACTGCTGAGGCCTGATGCTCGTGGAGGCTGTCCACCACCCTGCCTCCCCATGTCCCTAGGCCTAAGGCAGTGTCCTCACTCACCAGGACCCTCTGTTCATGTTGGCCAGCTGGCTGATACACACATCCACACGAGTGCAGGGGGTTAGCAGCCCAGGAGGGCTTGTTGTCTCCTCCTGACAGCTCTGCTGTCCCATTGTAGGTTAGGTTACCCTGCTGTGTTCTCGAAAGATCCTGCATCCACTCTCCCAGCATCCCTTTTGCGCTTCACCCCCTCCACGGACTGAGAGCCCCCTTCCATTCACCAGTGGAAACCTACTCCTCGATTCAGTGCCTGGCGCACAGGAGAAGCTCAATAAACATTTCCTGAAGATTGTTGGAAAGATGATGGCCACAGAGATGCATGCTAACTATGCATTTGCTATAAATGAATCTACTTGTAGCATTTCAGCGAGAGAAGTATTTGAGTAAGAGAGAGATTTAGAGCGGAGGGAACTTGTGAAACCCTATCAAATAAGGTACCATCTACTTATCAGGCCTGCCCTGTGCATAATCTGTAGTCTTTATAGTATCCTGGAGTCGTATGAGAATGTGATTAAATCAATACACCCTCTACCCAGAAAAAGAAACGCTCACACACAAAGGGAAATATTGTAATCTTGCTTTCAATTTCAGGAGATTAAAGGATCCCTTGAAATGCGTGCCTGGGACCCCAGGCTAAGAGCCTCTGCTCCATCTTAGTTGGATACTTTTCTCCTTTTCTGCTTTAGATTTCTACCTCCCAGAGGGCAGAAAGGAAATATTGGTCAGCCCAGTATCTATCGGTAGTAACCACGGTTCCTTGCATATAGTAGGGGCCCAATAAATGGTCAGTGAAAAAAATGCACACATATTGAGAAAGGGTGAATCATTGACCCTAAAGGATTCAGCAAGAGCACTTGTTCTGAGCCACCCATCATTAGCTTCTCTGCTTTCTCTCTACCTAGCCACACCTGCCTCCAAAGAAATGAGAGCATCCCCACAACCTTCAGAGTGGGGAATGCAGGGTGCTCCTGACACTCACACAGAGTGACTGACCCAGGGCGCTTGCCCCAGACCAGTTTGGCCTCAGTACACTGTCCTCTGTGGTGAAGGGGAGGGTTGTAAGACTGCCCCAGGGGATGCTCTGAAAACTTCTGGGGGCACGTTTTGGTTGTCACACTAATTAGGAATCACCATCAGTGTTTATTGGGTGAGACCCCAGACATTTTGCAATGTGCGGGCAAATTCTACACAGCAAAGAATTGTCCAAAGTCCCACGTGACCTCCAAATGTGCCATCAGATATTCATGTAGTTGAAAATGTGTTTATAACCCTGTGATCCTAGATCCTAGCTCTGTGTTACATATCATCACAAAGTCATTTTCTGCATGGTTTGAGCATACACTCAATTTTCTGAGAACGCAGGTACCACTTAAGTTAATGGAAGATTGTACACTGTTTGATTTGGAACTTTACCAAGAGTTGTTCACCCTTTGAAAAATCATAATACCAATGTCTACACCTCTGACGGGATTGAGTCACCAGCACAGCACGCCTGCAGGAGGCTGCATGAGAGAGCTATTGCATTCATAGCGATTCAACATAGACCTGCAAGCTCTATTTTATCTTGTCTTCGAGAGTAGCTGTGGGTAGGCATTTACACATTTGAACGCATATTCTTCTTTAAAGTTGTTTTTAACATTTCTCCTTTAGATTACAGTAAGGGCATTCTATTGATTTTTAAAGATTATATGAATAGATAGGTTTTATTATCTAGATATTTAATTTCAAGAGAGTGAAAGGCCTGTAAGAACATATTTCCTACAACAAAGTCTAATAGTGAACTATGATGATACCATTTAAATGGTGAATCATTAAGGATGCTCTTAACTTCAAGTAACAGTGTGCTGAATGTGGCTTAAAAAACAACACAAAAACAATTTTTTCACATAACAAGATGGCAGGTGGTTCCAACATTGGTTTAGTGGCTTCATGAGGTGGAAAACAACCTGGGTGATCTCCATCTTTTTGTCTGCTACCTCCAGTGTGCTGGCATTTATCCTCAGGCATGTCCTTTCATGGTTTCAGAAGGCCTGCAGCCACTCAGTTTGTATCCAGAGGGAAGAGGCACTGATTTTCCCTTGCATGGCTGTTCTTATCAGAGAGGAAGACTTTTTCCAGAAATTCTAGGGAAGACTTCCTTTCGGGTTTAATTCACAAAGATTTAATCAGATGCCCATTAATTAGATGCCCGTGGCTGCAAAGCCAGCTGGGAAAGCTGGAGGCGGGCTCCGCTGGCAGGGATATGGGGGAGGGTGACTATTGGTTACAGTCAAAACTGTTTGCTGCTCATTGTGTTAACCATTACTCACGAGCAATAAACAAAACAAGAGCAAATGGTAGCTTTAAAATGATGTTATACCTCAACCAGAAGTATGAAAAGATTGGACGTTAGACTCTGATGATGTTGATTTTCATGCCACCTTTGTTCCTACCTGCCATAATTTGATTCCATCTCAGAGTGGTATGTTCTGGGTTCAAAAAGAGATTAATCTCTGCCACCTACTTCCCGGCTTTGGTGTGGGTATCAAATGAGAATATATGCAATTATACAAAACTCTTTACACATGTAAGATATTCTTGATCTGATAGCATCAATCTCAAAGAATACTTAAGGAGTATAACCGTCAGTTCATTTCACGCTAAGTTTCACAGCCTAAATGGGATTTAAAATGGAAAAAAAAATCTGCATGAGATTGAAATTTTACAATGTAACCTTCCAATTCAAATTAGAGAGCTGATAGACTAAACTCTTGGATGTTGAGAATGTGACCTTTTGGAAAAACACGGAACTACAACAAAAAAGAATCAGTATAGACTAAAGACGCAGTCAGCAAAAAAGAGAACAACCTGTCCTGTTTGAATCCCGATTGACCATGCTCTGTTCAAGATCTAGAATACAAGGGAACTGGAGCCAAGAGCCAAGAGTGATACTGTTATCTTTAGCCCCTGCATGGTGAGCATTTAAACGCTCTTCCTGTGTTGTGCAATGGAGCCGGAGCAAAACCAGGGGTGACCACATGTCTGGGCTTGCCCAAGAAGGTCCCAGCTTACTCCTCTTACTTCTACCCTAATTATTAATAGCACTTCTTTCCTTCTCAGAAGTGTCCTGGTTTGGGTGATAAATCATAAATGATCATCTCACTAACCAATTGAAAAGTTCTAGATTATAAACATCAACTCATGCCCAGTCCCCCCGTTGTAGAGCTGAAGAAAGAAAAGCTAGAAGAAGAAGAAAGTTATAGGGTTCAGAGTGGGAGCAGAAGGAGATTAAACAGGAAAAAAAAAAAAAAAAGGAATCAATTAAAAAAATAAAACATCAATCCCACATTAGGAAGAACAAAAATCCAGAATGCCATTCCTCCAGGAATTCTCCTCCTTGGCTGGGAGCACTGGTGGGGAAGGAAAATTTCACAACGGCCCAATGAATGGATGGCTTGTTTCCCTCCGAAGAGTCTTACAGCTGGACACCAGTAGTCCGAACAGCGGCCCTGCTTCTCAGGCAGGCTTCCAGGGCCGCCAAGTGTTAGAAGCCCTTCATAGAGCAGCAGATTTTAAAGGTGAATTGAAACTATTTTAAGATCCCTCCAGGGCAGCAGATGGACAGAATGACGGATTGTTACTATGGTGTAGTTGTTTTCGTTCCTGGCCCAACTGTGCACACAGCACCATGGTTTCATGACTGGTGTGGTTTGCTCTCTCTGCAAGCAAGATGCATTCTAAAAAATATGCAAAGAAGGGAGTGTAGGAACTAGATTACAGGTTCTTCTAAATAAAATAGAAAAATATTGACTAGGCCGTAAGAAGACTAGACAAACTGATGTGGAATTTTGCTTTGATAAGAGGACAGTGATACGTACATGAAATTATCCTTTCAGGAGTTTCATTCAATAAGTCAAAACTGAGAGTTCTTTAGATCGGAGCAATGTCACCAAATTCTTTGGCCAAAATAATGATCAATTTTAGTAGAGCTCAGTGGTCAGGTGTTCCAGTTCTGGATCAGATCGCCTTGACTCAAATCCCAGTTCCACCAGTTACCAGTAACTTTAGACAAGTTTCTTAACCTCTTTGCCTCTCAGTTTCCTCATCTGTAAAAAGGGCATAATTATCTTATCTACCTTATAACGTTGCTGAGGAAAGTCAAGGAATGAATTGCTTAGACTAGAGCCTGGCACATAGAAGTGCTTGTTAACGTCAGTTGTGGTGGCCATGGCCCTTATTAAAATAGTGTAATTGCAAGGTTCCATTGTAATTTCTTAAATATACAACTTGCTATGCTTAACTTGATAAGCCAGGATAAATTGGCTTTTTTGTTTATTTTTTTCAGGGATTACCAGTGCTGTTTTGATAAGGATCCTAGTTTCCCTCCCTTGAGTAGGCTAGTGGGGAGAAGGTTTGTGAAAGACCAGAGCTGTTATAAAATATAGTTCCGTTGTGGTATAGCTCTCAGGGGCTTCTCTGCTGCCCTGGTTAGAAAACACTGAGACAGGGAAGTAATAGGAAATCGATGGCAATTAGAGAGAGTTCCCCAAAGCTGGGAAGTTAGGACTGAAATGTCTTCGTTCCACAAACGTCACCTAAGCACTTTACTAGGACCTTCCCGTGCTACAAAGATGTCCATAATGTTCAAGGAGTTCATTCATTCACTCATTTATTCCACAAATCTTGAGTGTTTATTATGGGCCAAGAACTGTTCTAGGGGCTGGAGCTAGAACAACGAATACAGCAGGGTCCTGAGCACAGGAGTCTCTCAGAATATGAGGATGCTGACGAATAACAATTATCAGATGCATGCTGGAATAGCTCAGCGAACTTGGGCAGCACAGAGAAAGGGTGCCAGATTCAGTCACTTGATGTGTGAGAAGTCAGTCTCAGGTTCTGGCATGGCCAGAGATACACATGGGAGAGTTTCAAAGTGGTGATCCTGATTTGATGTCAGATCGAAAAGAGCATGAAAAGCTTAAAGTCAATCTAGCGTGAGCAGCGAGGGGAGAGAGAAGCAATGGGCGAGGCAGGGAGTACATTACACACACTGGCTCTTTGCAGGCAACCTGCTGAGGTCAGGGTTGCTATGGTCTTTTGACAGATGAGGAACCTAAAGTCGAGTGTTTAAGTGTCTTGGTTGAGGTCTTGAGCTGCTTATCTGTGGAGCTGGGTAAAGCAGGTTGGTGTGGCTGCAAGCCTTGGTTTTTCCACTGCCCAACTGGGGCTCAGTTCCAGGGAAACTAACAGAGCCCAGCCAGGACCTTGTGGGAGAAAAACTAAGAGCATATTGTTACATTCAGAGTGATAGTAATACGTTTAAAATTAGATTATATTAGGAAACTGGCAGTGAGAGGTGTCCCTAGGTGTGCTCAAGCCTGGATGACGATTCAAGCAAATTAAATTCATTATCTATGGCCCAATAAGCCCAAAGACAAATGTTCATTCACGCAGAGAAATAGAGCTGCCTGATCAGATTACTTGTGACTTCGTTCTCCCTCAGACGCCCGTCTGGCCCAGAGCCTTATGCAAATGAGCTTTGGATGTTCATAAAATCTCTGTCTCCCCCAAATGCAGATTGCCACCTGTTCCACCTCTCCCAGCCCAGTTCTCACTCTCAGCTCTCTGGGTTCTTTGATTGGTTTTGCTCCTCGATTTCTAGGACCTCCTTCACCATCACCCCATCCTGGGTCACTTAAGGTTTATATTCAACTCTAAGTTACAGAAAACTTGACTGAACAATGGCTTCAACAAATCAGGTTTCATTTTCCTTATTGGCACCACTGCTGGTGCCGGTGGAGGGGCTGAGGGAGGTAAGGCTGAGATTTCCGTCCATTTTTGCTGCAATCTTGTTATCATATCTATATTCTGGGCAGAAAGAGCAGGAAGCACCAAGGAATGGATGATACTTGTGTTTAGAAAGCAAAACTTGTCCTAAATTCTCTAACAGACTTCTCCTTGAGTCTAATTGGTCAGAGTTGAGTTTCAAGGCTACCCCAGCCAAAAGGGAGGTTGGGAAGTATAGTTTTTTAACTGGGCGCATTGCTGCCTCACACAAATTCAGTAAGGTAGACCCTCATAGAAAGTAGCATCAAGCCAAGATAGCTATAAAAAAGTGTCAACAGATCACAAGTTTGTGCCATCCTGCGAGAGAACAAGCTTCCTCAGAGAGTCTCAGAGTTTCTCTTCCACTCACCAGGCACGTCCCAGTGGCTACCACGTGCCAGACACTGTGCAAGGCTCTGGGCAGAAGCAGTAGCCGCTCACTGACTGGCCTTGAGGAGCTTGCCACCCAGTGAGGAGACACTCAGATCCACAAGGAATTACAATACACCCGGGGGCCGATTTACAGTGCAAGGGTTTGGGATCCATAGAAGTGTCTGGTAGTTTATAAAGATTTAAATCGAAATTTCTTTTTTTGTAAGAAATTAACAAAGGGTTGATGTTTTAGCATGTTGAAAAACGCCGGTTGTCCACTTGGTCATCACATTATCATATAGTAAATAAACCATTTATGGAAAACGTGAGTATGGAAAATGTTTATAAAGTCAGCATCGGCATTCACTAACAATGTCTGATCACGGGGCAGGTCAGCCTTCAACCACTGTCTGTGCTGCCCTCCAGTCTCCATTACTAGAATGTTTGCATAGAAGATTCAGTGTTCTCAAAAATCAACTCAAAATGGATTAAAGACTTGAATGTAAGACCCGAAACCATGAGACTTCTAGAAGAAAATATAGGCAGTACGCTCTATGACCTTGGTCTGAGCAGCATATTTTCAAGTCCCATGTCTGACCAGGCAAGGGAAACAAAAGAAAAAATGAACAAATGGGACTACATCAAACTAAAAAGTTTCTGCACAGCAAAGGAAACCATCAACAAAACGAAAAGACAGCCTAACAATTGGGAGAAGATAATTGCAAACCGCATATCAGATAAGGGGTTAATATCCAAAATATACAAAGAACTCATGCAGCTCAACAACAAAAAACCCAACAATCCAATTAGAAAATGGGCAAAAGATCTGAACAGAGATTTCTCCAAAGAAGAAATACAGATGGCCAACAGGCATATGAAAAGATGCTCAACATCATTAGCTATCAGGGAAATGCAAATCAAAACTACAATGAGGTATCGCCTCACTCCGGTCAGAATGGCTATAACTAACAAGACAGGAAACAACAAGTGTTGGAGAGGGTGTGGAGAGAAGGGAACCCTTGTTCACTGCTGGTGGCAGTGCAAACTGGTGCAGCCACTATGGAAAGCAGTTTGGAGTATCCTCAGAAAATTAAGGATAGATCTACCATATGATCCAGCTATCCCACTGCTGGGTGTTTATCCAAAGATCTTGAAAACAGAAAGGCATAAAGATACTTGCACCCCTATGTTCATTGCGGCATTATACACAATAGTCAAGACTTGGAAGCAACCTAGGTGCCCATCAAGGGACGAATGGATAAAGAAGATGTGGTATTTATACATGATGGACTACTACTCAGCCATAAGAAATGATGAAATCCGGCCATTTGTGACAACATGGATGGACCTTGAGGGTATTATGCTGAGTGAAATAAGTCAGAGGGAGAAAGTCAAATACAATATGATCTCACTCATAAGTAGAAGATAAAAACGACAAAAAAAAAAAAACCACACATAGCATTGGAGACTGAACTGGTGGTTACCACTGGGGAAGGGGGAAGGGGGGAGGGCAAAAGGGGTGATTAGGGTCATATGTGAGGGGATGCACTATAGTTAGTGTTCGGGTGGTGAACATGATGTAATGTATCCAGAATTTGAAATATGATGTACATCCGAAAAAAATAAAAATTAAGAAAAAAAAAAGAAGAAGATTCGGTGTTCTTCCAAATTTGGCACTCTCTTCTTGGTGCCACCTTTCAACGAGATGCACTGCCTGGTCAATGTCATAATCCCTTGGCTTGTTTCCAGTGCAACTGAAAACTTTTACTGACTCCAGTCGGGATTGTTTTTCACTGCTTCTTAACCTGGGGGCCCTCGTGCGATGTCCATTGGCACTTTCTTGTTATACATTGACTCAGAAGTGTAAACACTCTCAGGAAATGTGCCTTCACAGAGCATAGTCTCAGACTCCTGACCAGGCCTGTGACATTGTCATGAGAGGCCCTGGAAATGGACCCAGGCCGGGAGGTTGCCCTGCCACGTTGGCAAGAGTCTCTCTCCACGGTCGCACCCAGGCACCAATGAGAGACCACAAAACCTTTGCCAGGCAGTTTAAATCACATGGCCCTTGAATGTGTGTGTGTGCATACCCATGTGTGTTTATTTGAAGTTTTTACTTTTTAAATATTTTATTCTGAGAAGGAAGCTATGGTGTGATATTTCTGTAGGGATAAACAGTACTATGGGAACTCAAAGGAGGTGCATTCAGTTTGAGGGATCAAACAAGGCCCCTCAGGGGACAGGCCATCTAAGATGACTGAAGGATTTTGAGCTCCCTTCCTTGGACCCCCAGGGCCCCTCCTATTTCTGCAACCACCCCCCCACCCCGGAAACTGTCTAGCAAATCTTCCTCCATGGAGACGGGGGGAGAAGGTGGGCCTCACGGGGGACAAACCTTCTCTCCAGACAAATTCACTCCATTTCGTGTTGATTGTCTCACCCTAAAGTTCAGAGAGCGACCTTTCTGAGCCCTCCCCAGGACTGAGGCTTCCTGTGCGGCCTGAGGAATAATGAACCACCATCTCTGCACCCAAAAGGGTAGAATTTTTTTCCTTCTGTATGGGAATAGCCTCGACTTGTTACCAAGATTTCCAGGACAACTTTTAAATGTCAGTTCTGTGAATTTTAATACAAAACATTTGAAAGCAGTTTTCTCTTTGGCTTATCTACAGTGATTTGACATTAGAGTTTGGTATTTTTATTGTTTTTCACCTTGTTAACTTTAGAAGGCCTCACTGCGATTTCTTTTTTTTTTTCCAAAGATTTTATTTTTTTCCTTTTTCTCCCCAAGGCCCCCCAGTACACAGTCGTACATTCTTCATTGTGGGTCCTTCTAGTTGTGGCATGTGGGACGCCACCCCAGCATGGTTTGATGAGCAGTGCCATGTCCGCGCCCAG